AAGAGATGAAAAATCCGATTATATCAGCCCATCGAGCTGTATTTATAGGATTGGATCCCCCATTGGATCTATTGTCACCAAGGGCCTCTCTTGACAGCCCATGGGCACGTGAGCCATCTTGTCTATGTCTGGATGCTGCCACAACGCGTTTTACATTAATTCAAAATTAAGGATAATTTTTGCCTTCAATATCTTGTAGGTTATCCCCAGCATAAGATATTACACAGTACGAGAGAACCTCTCGTAAGAGATCTGACTGTTGTTCATCAGACTATGTTGAGTTTGAGTTTTGTCGCTAGTATTTAAGAACAAATAAATAAATGCTTTAATAAATATGTTACCACATTTTTTATTTAGTATTGTTATATGGCATATTTTTGGATTGGATCTGTAAATCTAAAGACTATGAAGAGTCATTTAAAGGTCTGGGTAAAAACACCTTATTGTTTAAAAATGTATCTAAATTATTTCATCATCTGGAAAATATTTTTTTCTAAAGAATTATATCTCAAATATACTAAATTAAGATTCTTTAATGATCTTTAATGAATTCCTCTTAGAATCCTTAAGAGGAATCAAATTATTCAATTCCTTTACAATTCCAATACCTAGATATTATGGTTGTGCTTAGCTACATGCCTAATGACACACTATATATCATTCCTGCTGACAGGCGAAAAAGAATAACAGAAGATGACAGACGCAGATGCCAATGTATTCAATGCAGGAAGTGGAAAGGCCCCCTGCCAGTCATTTGAATGAGCAGATATTGGTTCAGTCTAGAATTAATGCACTGAATATGTCATTCTGTCATCCAGAGCCATTTCGAAATCTGCTTTCTGCGAAGAGTTTCATGTTTCTAACCAAGCCCGACAAATCACTGAAGCCCAAGAGACTCAGAACACCGGCTAATAACTGTAATGAGATTAAATTGGGACAGTAAAAAATCTGCCTGGTGTTGATTTGAAGATAACAGAGAGCAAGATCTAATGAGTCAACACGTTCTTTGATGGCACACATTTCACAGAATGGATGTTGTAATGGTGTACACAGTATCCTACCTCTCTGTGATGGTCTCTCTCAGACCGCTGGTGACCCCCTTCATGACGGTGCTTGCTTTGGGAGTGAGAACCACCTGCGATACAAAAAAGGTGCCCTTGCGTCTCCGATCCTTTACCGAGGCTTGAAGGAACTGAATGAGCTTCTCAGGATCTGTGGTGTTGGCCCAAGGAGAAGGCATCATCTGACCCGGCCACAGGAAAGGAACCTCCAGGGCCATTGGATTGTGATAGAAGACCAGCACTTGAAACTCTTTCTCCCAGAGGTACTTCAGGCTAACCTCTTGAGCAAACACTACTGGACAGAGTCGGTCTCCAAAGATGGTGCGCAACATCTGGACCAGTTTCTCGTGATGGAGGTTCTGTACACCGTAGAAGTGGTTGAAGTCCAGGAACACGACCTCGCGAGCATGGGAGGCCAGGAAGGTGCTGATCTGCTCCAGACCTTCACGTACAGTGGCGCTGAACAGGCCGTGTGCAAAGAAGAGCTCGTTGTCGGGGTCTCTGGGTTTGGTGGATATGCGGAGGTCAAAGAAGCGGATGCCTGCCTCCAGCTGGCTGGTGAAGTTCATGGTCTGTGTCGCCAACCACTTTCTCATCAGCTTCTTGGCCACAGTGCCAAACACAGAGACAAAGTTCTGCACTGTCTCCGGCTGCTCCGGTCCAACTGGTGAGGCTTCGTCGATGTAAAAACTAAAAGAGTCGTGGGAACCTGGACGAGAAGATTTCTGAGTTAGTGATATTCATTAAGAGAGAACATACATATGATGATGACATAAGAGTGATATCAATTTCTGGCTCATATATTTTGTTGATGATTCGAATATGTTCGAATACAACACAGAATATGATTCGGCTGTAGGTATTCACAGCATGCTGATATATAGCCATATTGTCCGACAGGAAAAGTGACTAAATAAATAAGAAACAACGGATAATTTACTATATTTATTTGCTTGGTTTTGCTTGGTTCTTTAGTTGTTGTAGGCTAAAGACCTTTAAAATAACTGAAATTATTTGGCGAAGTGATAATGGAACTGTTAGACCAAGACCCTGTTTGTTTCCCTGAAAATATATTGCACAAATTAGAACGTTCGCCAACGAATCAGATTCAAGCATTCAACCGCCCTGTAGTATAAGGCATTTATAACATTTATGTTATTATTATTATTATTATTATGTAAAATAATATTTATTGAACAGTAATATTGAAATTAACAACAATAGCCATTATAAAAGATAATGTGAAATAAACACAAGCACAAATTCAAGTATAAATTCAGTGATCTAATTCAGGATTTAAGTTAAATATAGTATAAATACAAAGTTATGAAACTTAATTTTCCCCAGGCCTTAACCCAAATCGATTTGCTCTGGAACAAGTAATAAGTTAATAAGATTCGATAAAGGAAAATTCAGATTGACTGGCCGAGATAAAGCTGTTCATGGCGGGTACATGTGCGCTGACGGACTGGAGCTCACATCTGTGAAAGTGTCTAAACAAAGTCACATATTTTAGGTCTAAATAACTACATTCTTGCCTAAAAAACCTCTTTATTTAAACTCTTTAAACTAATTGATTTAGTAATATGTATATATATATATATATATATAGAGAGAGAGAGAGAGAGAGAGAGAGAGAGAGACAATACACAATATACGGAATATGGTTTGCATGCCCCTGAAAAATATTAAAAATCTTAAATTTGGCATCTTAAAATTATGGAATAGCCTTTTGTATGTTCTGGTGGATTTCACGGATATGAACAAGACAACGAATACACATCAACTGTGCCATTTGGTACAGGGCCATCTAAAAATGACGAGAACAATGATTTTAAGGTGACTTGTTCTGAAAAAGACTCAAATCTCATACTGCCTGACAATCCATGGTACTTTTGTACAGTAGGAACCTAAGAATACATAATGGCTGCTGTATGGTTAAATAGAGTAATGTAACAACGTAATAGCCAACACTTGCATCCTGACTGCAGCAGTGCAACACGAGGGAAAAGCGTTGCCAGGGCCTACAGGATAATAACATGGAGTCCACGAGCACGCTTTCAATTTAAATTGAGCAAAGCCAGGTGCTATGTTTGATCTCAAAAATCAAAACAACTATTAAAATAAATGCATTGCTAATGTAATTAAATGAAAGCATTAAGCAATATAGCCGGTGCGTGTGAGAGACTCTCTGAATATTATTTTTAATGAATAAACAATGCGTCTCTGCATTTGAAGGCAGCACTGTAGCCATCAACATTCACCATGGAAAAGGGCCATTAGGCAAACAGCTGTCTGCTTGGAAAAGACATCTCAGCAATCACCACTACAACAAAACCAGTGGAAATGATGAAGGCATTAGATGCTACTTTAACAAGAAAGAAAGAAAGAAAGAAAGAAAGAAAAGAAAGAAAGAAAGAAAGAAAGAAAGAAAGAAAGAAAAGAAAGAAGAAAGAAAGAAAGAAAGAAAGAAAGAAAGAAAGAAAGAAAGAAAGAAAGAAAGAAAGAAAGAAAGAAAGAAAGAAAGAAAGAAAGAAAGAAAGAAAGAAAGAAAGAAAGAAAGAAAGAACAACCCTCAGAGATTTGCTACCATGACAATCCGTCTCTATTATGACAATAATGTGTCATTTATCTAATGAATGTTCATTAAACAGATTGGCCTGGAAATATACAGACTTTTTTTCTGTATCAAATTTAGATTAATGAGTAACAGTGAATGTCTCATTTCCCTCCTTGACACAGGTAATGCCATCTGGTTCGTGGAAACAGAGGGAAGTCTCCTCTAACACAATTTCCATGTATGTCTCATTGGATCAAACTGTTAAGGAAGGTAAGATGTCAGTGGTAAGATCAGTTTTTATAAAAATACGCAGCACAATGCACATTACTATTTTAACATGGTTTTTCATTAATTCTCTCCAAACACAACACCTATAACATATGTTGAAAAACATCCTCTTTTATTATATTTTTTATTTTAAGATTGGATGAATAGCAACTTGTCTTTTCTCTTTAAGATGTAATTTGAGCAAGCCTTAAAGAAAACCACATCTCTGTTTCTTTAACAGAAGAAAACAAGGTGAATTTATACAGGTCTTAACAACTTCAGCTCCAGGACCCAGTGCATTTATTTAGCTTTTTAAGCTCTTCAGCTAAATGCAAAGGAGTGTCTCCTTGCTATGAGATCCCTGCTTTGAGATGCACTAAGCTGATATTAGGATAGAAATTATTTCTGGGAAAATGGACCATTTAACAAAATGAGAGTGACTGATTGGTGTCATGTTTCACCTCTGAACTTCAGAGAGGAGGAACATTAGAGCAGATTAAAGACTCTTTTCTGTTTTTGAAACATGCAATCAGAGATGATCCCTGAAACAATAAATCTTGTTGTGTAGGAGACTAGGAGGACACAAACCTGTCTACAGTTGTTAGTATTTAAATATAGTGAATTTTAAATGATAAAAAAGCAAATTAAATAATCACACAAATAAAACTATAAAAGTATCTATAAATTATCTATATAATTATAAAATACAAAACCGTTCCTGGTTAATGATTACAATAAAATACACAATATGATACAGGACATCTGTTGAAGGGCACCAAGATGAAGAAAGTTTTCATCCTAAGCCTTGTTATATTGTCTTTATGTGGATATGGTGGAAAAAAAGACATGAGTTATTTTCCAGTTTGATCTTTCGAAATCTCCCTGGATTGAATGCTCTATATCACATATTGCAGCCCAGTAGTGAAATGCTATCATTCTTAAAAAACAAAACAAACAAAAAAACACCACCAGCAGCAGCAAATCTTACTGTAGATTCTATTCAAGATTCTATTCACAAAAGATTGACACTGTCAACCACAGTGGACCGCCTCACAGTTCAGCGGGAAATAAAGTCATCATTACAGGGAAAAGTGCCTCTTTTTTTTCCAATGGTGACTGTGCTTTCATGTCTGGTCACTTAATCTTTTCCATTTATCTTGTTTATTGAGACATGGCAGGCTAAAAATCCTCTCTTTTGGGTCTAAAGTGCAGGATTAATGGATGAACAATTGGATGGATAAGACAGACTTGAAGATGAATCAGGCACAAGTAAACGGTGCCTTCGAGGTTTGAAGCCATTACAACTTTTCATGCCACTATAGAGCAACTTTAAATAATTGAAATCTTTTTGTATGTGCGTCTGTCAGGAAATAAATAAATAATCCCTACACCTCATCACAGGAAACATTTTGGGTATGCATTTTTGACATCAAAGCAATGCAATGTTCTGCTGTGAAGAAAAATGAGAGATAGGACAAAAGAAAAATGGGTAATTAAAATCATTTTCAGAGGACGATTATCAGCAACAAAGATGTGCCTTGAGTTTGATGGTTTTTTTGGTCTCCAACTGAGCATAATCAGTCAAAGTGAATAAACTTAAAGAGTTTATCTAATAACAGTCTATATGGATGCTGTTCATGGACAGGAAAAAGATTGGTATAAGCAGACTAGTTTCTAATGACACACTCCTGCTGCCTCAAGGTCACATGCTAGACCTGTCTGGAACACTTCTAACATACGACTGCAGTTAGATTGCGAAGCCTCTGTGAATCTCATCAACAAAAAGCTGTGGTTAGTGATGTAATCCCTTCTTCCATTCTTCATTAGTGAATAGGAGGGATTACCACCATGTATGAAAAATAGGGGAAGATAACTAACAGGCCTCCAGTGCCCTTCAAACATTTTTACTGTTCATACAACAACCACAGAAAGTTTTATTTATATATGTGGTATATATATATATATATATATATATATATATGTGGTGTGTATATATATATATATATATATATATATATTGTATTATACTGATCAAAAGTGACAGTAATATAATGTTACAAAAATATTTCACAAAAATGTTGTTCTTTTGAAATTGAAATTTCAATCCATGACAGAATCCTCTAAAAGGTTTCCACAAAAATACTAAGCATTTTTCAACATTGATAAAAAGAAATGTTTCTTAAAGCTACACTGTGTGATTTTTACACCCATCTAGCAGTAAAAAGGTATCTGACCATCCAGCGAATATTATTTTACTCTCAATTCCGATTTCATTTTAACTCCTACGGTGGCCAATGTAGTCCAAGACTAACATGGCTTCCTGTTCGACCTCGTCCATGAGTGTTAACTCAAACGTAAACGCGAAAGGCGAAGCTTGAATTAGCGGGTATGTCCCTCTTTGGCTAATGTACTTTCAAGATGGAGGGGCAACATGGCGACCGACATTAGAACCCCTTACCCCTGTGTATTTTCAATGGCATATTATACACTCACAAGAATACTTAATTACTTGAACAAAGTAAATATACATTACTGAGCACACATATTTTTGAAAGAACTAAGTGTTTTTAGCTAAGAATAAACTAAAAGAGTTTATTACAGTGTAGCTTTAAAATCACCATGAAATCAAATATGACAAATCTTCTTTTTATATGTAATATTGTAGTGTTTATTATAAATGATTTATCTGTGCACTACAGTATTTTTAAAAAAAAATGACTGTACACTTATAGTCTTTAATCAAATACATTACCCTTCCCTGCCCCATCAAAACCACCTCTCTTCTATTTCGGTCACGTGGAACGGCGAAAGGGTGCGGCCAGATCAGATGAGGGTGCGGCTATCGGTGAACCGCCTCTCAGAGAATCGCATTAAAATCTGCCTCCATTTTGTTTGCAACGCCCAACCTCCAACGATCCAATCAATTACCGAAGGACGAAATCAAGCCGTGCCCTACATTTTTTGTATCCGTTTCACTCGGATACGTCACGAAAAGGAAAAAAATGACAATCTCAACTTTTAATAACGACTTTAAACACCAAATCCACATATTATAATAATTTGTGAGGGATCATGAATAATGTAGTAACGATGCTATAAATTCCGCTTTACCATCAAAGGGATGAACTGCATTATAGAAAAGTTTAATAATATTTCACAATGTTACTGTTTGTATTACTATATTACTGAAGATCAACAAATGCCAAACACTGTTTTTTCTCTTTCTACAGTGTCTGCCATTGGCAGCCACTCAATAGCTGATTACATGATTAGAGAGATACATGAACATATGAGAGCCATAGCATGAATATCAATAATGGCTCTCCATAGCAATCAATAATACCCAGGTTCCAATCCATGCCCATCTCTGAATTGCAAAAAAATCTGCTTACTAAGCATACAGGTGGCTGATAAAGCAGCAGTGCACAGTGCTTATTCTGTGGCCTTGTAACTTTAGCATAGCCTCTCTCAGCACTGACACAATTCCTCTGCCCTGGTTCCTGCTGCTAGTAAGTGTGACAATGTCAACTATAACAGGGTGATGATTTCATCAAACCAGCCATCCAGAAGAGCACAGTAGTTTAAGAGCCACTCAAAAGAATTTTTCTAACAGGTTCATTTTGTACCGAAACTCTGTTCAATGTCTACAACAAAAGGATATATCTATATTCTGTTCAGTAAGAGACTTGTTTGCCAATAGAAGAATGATTCATGTTTTTGCAAGTGTGTACAGTATGTGGAGGACGACTAGCTGACCTCCAAAATACTGCCAAAACCGATGCTACAAGTAAACAATGTTGAGTTGCAACAGGAGAATCAGTCAAATGTTTAATGTGAGGAGTGCTTCAAGAGGCTACAATGATTTCTTGAACCTCTTAATTTGGAACGACTATAAAAAGAGTTCCGATAGAGGAAATAAAAGACACTAGATTGTCTTAGCACAAGCACTGACCTTCACACCGCAGGAGGTGGCAGAGACAGTTTTTGAGTGGCAGTGCTTAAAAATACCAGGCTCATGGATGTCCTTCTAATACGTCCACATGTTGACTTTGATGACGTTTGAAGCATGAATCTTTCAAAAACGATTTACCGATAAAGATTCAAGTCAACATGAATGGCTATTTGTAACCCATTTTTTTCTATCCATTGAGAAATGATTGGATTGTGAAGAGTTGGAGCTGATGGAGCCAGACCAAACAAGTTTGGTAGAAGGAAATTAATTCATTGATTTTAACAATAACTTCTTACTGTTAAAAACAGCCTGCATTATTTCAACTAAAAAAAGGAATTATTGATTTAATAATTAAACAGTGAAATTTCAGGTGAAAAACTACATTACCCATTATTATTCTGCTAACAAGTCCACCAATCACAGAATTGCAGCAAGGAAATTGCACCACAATTGTTCCTCCCACTCCCAGTAAAGCATTGCGAATGATGTACTGTAGCAGATTCAAATTACTATACTCTTAAATTTAGTTTAGGGTCCAATTCTCACTATAACTATTTATTAACTACAGCTATTGCCTTATTAAACTACTGTTTATTAATAGTAAGGTAGTTGTTTTGTTAGGGTATTGGGTATGATTAAAAGATGTAAAATAAGGCATTAGGCACAAGGTCTATATTCTATGCATGCTTATATATAAATAGGTATGGTTATATTTCTTTGTCGTTTTTAATTTATGTCATTCATAATGCTTCTTGGCTAGTACATTAAGTACGTCTTGTACCTTTGTTTTTGTTTTGGTCTGATTTTTAAATAATGTTATGCTTTTTATACTTTTAAACAAGACGACCAATATAGGTGGGCACTGTTGCACTCAATTGGTTAATATTTTCAAACAGTCAGACTCACAATAGCATAGTGATATCAGAGGGGGAAAAATATTCAGAATAATATGCACTAAATTAACATGAGAATAACACAGAAGACCAGGAACATGCATTAATAAAAGAAAATAGGTCAATTTGAGTTTCATGTTGCCTGTAATATACAGGCATTATGCAATTTTTTTTTTTTTTAAACAAAAAACTAAAATAAATTTTTTTTCTGAATCATGCAAACCTCCAGTAGCCTGACAATATGACCGCATGAAAGCAAAAGTGCCTCAGGCTGAAATAAACATTACTGAAATATTCATGAGACAAAGGCGAAGGATCAATGATTATATGTTTTAGGAATTGATCCTGAGGAGCTAAAATGACCATTGCTTTCTCTAATTATAAAACTGAAAAAAAAAAAAAAACATTATATTTTGTTTCTAACGTGAGTTAAGGAAAATAACATGTCAGAGAACAATTGATGAATGAATGGACAGACAAAAGCTTTTATTGTGGTGTTAAATGAAAGACAGACAGATCAGATTTAGATGGATAGATGGATAGATGAATAGATAGATAGATAGATAGATAGATAGATAGATAGATAGATAGATAGATAGATAGATAGATAGATAGATAGATAGATAGATAGATAGATAGATAGATAGATATTGATTGATGATTGATTGATTGATTGATTGATTGATTGATTGATTGGTTGATTGATTGATTGATTGATTGATTGATTGATTGATTGATTGATTGATTGATTGATTGATTGATTGATTGATTGATTGATTGATTGATTGATTGATTGATTGATTGGGAGCCCCTGGGCAGGGTTTCAATGGCTATCTTATTCATGTCTTTAAGTTTTGAGATCAAGCACTTCAAGCATTGTGAGATCAACTTAAAAGCTCACAGATTTGCAAGATATCTGTGTGGGAGTGGTACGTGTTCAGAATTCTTAATCAAGACACAATTTGTTTAGACCCTTTTGATAAACGACTGCTACACTACAACTTTCCATCACCCACCCACAGCTTTGCCGACAACACTGTTTCACAAAAGTTTTACAAAAGAGTGATGGGATAAGTTGTGCTTAAGTAGGAAATACTGCTTCAGTGCTAGTGCTGGAATGATGAATTCAGACCAGACCAGTATCAGTGGCATGAGGTGATCTTCTCCTCTGCAGCGGTCCATACAAACGATGCAGTTTAGTTTGCTTTCATAAAGTACGCTGAAGTCAGAGCACTTACTGTACAGTCAAGCATGATCCCTGGTTGCACATGGTGGAAATCAGTGACATAGATGTTAATCGTGGGTTTTAATCAGAGCTTTCTGGGCTGATTGCTCCAGCCTTTGGTGCTCTTCAACAACCCAGTCCCTTACAACAGCAAAATAGTCAAAATAGTCAAAACTTGTTCTGTGTTTTAAAATGCATTTGTATGGTGTGAAAAGCCTGCAATAAGGTTCAAACAGATTCCTGCAAATATTGAGAATCTAATCACGATTAGTCTCAACAGAAAATATTGACATGTGTCATTATTGGTTGCACCATTAACATGGGCAATGCCTGTATGCAAACACATCTTGCATCCTCTGATTCCAACATGCCTTCCAACATCCTATTATTACTCTACACTTCAAGAGTGTCCACAATCACAGTTCCTGTAGTCATAACATACATGCCATCTAGAAGTTACTCACAATTGCAAGCTACGCACAATAAAGTGTATTCTGCAGAGTACAGCGGCTGTGAGAAAGGTTTTGGGTATGGTCGACAGTAACCTTTCAGTGAACAGTAAAAAAAAAAAAAAAAAAAAGAAGCCCATGAACATTATTTTATAATTTTCCAAAGGAGAGGTCCCAGGTTCTTCATGGAACCACAAATGGCAAAAAAATAACCTATTTTTAAAGAGTGTATGGTGTTCATGGTATTATGAAAATCAATGCTAATGAAGAAGGTGTTTAGTTTTTTCTTTTTTAGACAATTGCCTGTCATTAAGTATTAGTGAGTAGTGAAAACAAGAATAAAGGCATTTCCTGCATTTTTTAATCTAACTACAGTATGGGTCTATATATAATCTTTGTTATTTCATAATATTGTATCAAAGAAAGCTGTGGCACACGTGTAATGTGTCTCTTAATCCGTCGCAGAGACGGATTTCGAGCCTCGAGCAACAAGTGTCCTATTTAATTTATGCCACACGTTTTATCCTTATTATAAACTCGCTAGATTGGAACAATATTAATGTCGACAACCTATTAGTCACACACAATAGCTTATGTCATAAGCAGAACCCATTTTATGTAATGAGCAGAACATTCTCACTGAGATGTGTTTTGAGCAAAGTTAACGAAAATAACCTACTAAAAAAACTTTTTTAAATGGTCAGTTAAGTCATTCAAGAACCTAACCCCAAGCGTAATATTTTCATTCATATATTCTGCAGCAATTTCTCACTGTTCACGGTTAGTCTACGCGCATTAAAAGGCAGCTTACCCGGTATGGCGAGGTTGGTAAGAGGAATACCGTGCAAGGTATCCGGTAAACTTGACATCCAGTCCGCATAACGGTGCTCGCTCTTCCCCTGAGACGAAGCCATGTCGTCGGTTCTCCGGTGCTCAGTGTCCGTGCGTTGTTGGGAGTGCTCTAGTATTCAGCGCCCGCGCTCGCGTGAGTTCACTGCACGAGCATCACCACACCCCCGAGACGGCGCGCGCCGCACATGCATCACAATTTCCCCAGATTTCTGGATTTAAAGGGCGTATTTACAAACATATATACAAGCTCGTTGCATGTTACAGGTCTAAATGATTCCCTGCCATGTGTCTGCTGGCTGGGTGTGGGCACTGGGCGCAATTAGAAAGCATGTGGCGCGCGCAAGGCTCGTGCGTATTTCATTTATTCATTTGATGCTGTTGAACAACTATTGTTTGTGTCGAGGAACAGGGCGGTCGAATCCTCCATCCGTGCATCACACACATTCACTCTTTCAAGTTGAATATTAACACAGTCGATGTACATGTTTGCAAGTCTGATTTGTGAAGCGGTTGTGCAACAAGTGTAAACAGATGCGTCATTCAAATGATGATAAAACAACACCGTTAAATTGCAGAGCTTTAATAAATAGATGATACAACTATTCAAATGCGGGCTATCCAATTATAAGGAGATGTTAGAAAGACAGTCTCGGTCACCTTTCACTTTGTTTCATTAGGCTAAATTTAGAAAAGATGCAATGAAAGCAGGGCCATAATGACCACCACAGGGTGACAAGTCCCCTTTCCTTTAATGCGAACTGACAGAGAAACTTGATTATGATGAGATAATCTGTGGTTAACCATGAGTTCCGTTGCCTCAGACTAATATTGCAGGAGGACATGTAAAGCAGGTTAATTCAACTAATAGGAATAGACATTTTGTTGTTTGTCATGCACTGTTGCAATAATGCAGTAATGTTTTGCCATTAATTTAAAATAAGTTAAGCAATTACAGCTTTCTTTTTTTAAGTTATATGAGGTTCAACTTGATTTCTGAAGTCACTTTAAATATAATTTAAGTTGAAATGACTTCATTTATACTTAGGAATTAAGCAGCACCATAACTTTCATAAACTTAAGTGTAGTTATTTTTTAGAAGTTTTTTTATTTATTATTATTATTGGCTGTGTTGGGTTGTTGTTTTAAAACTGGATAATATTGGCGTTTCCTTCAGACCACTTGCATTCATGAATATGAAATTTAACAGTTAGTAGAGAAAACTGACATAAGAGAATACATGATATTAAATATGACTCCTTTCCATAATTTTTGAGCTCGTTCTCATCCCAAGGCGTCATATACAATGCTTTAGCCAAAGTGCCAACACACCGCACCCTTTAGCATCAAATGAGACGCAGATATATATGGGGCAGAAGGCGCCTCCTAGTGGTCTAACCCTAACCCTACCCCATACCTAAACCTACCATAACCGAAGCGTCTCATTTGACGCTAAAGGCCAGGGTGCCATGTGCCTTTGATGTCTACGCCTTGAATGCGTTGAATGTTTCCCATAGTACAAAAAAAACAAAAAAACAAAAAAAACAACAAAAAAAAACTCACATCATCGTTTTTTTTCTTTCTTTTTATAGCAGGACAAGAACGTCACAAACACAAAATATACAGAGGATTTACACAGTAGTCTCACTGTTACAGAATAAATTATCCAAATAAATTATCTAGGAAATAACATTAAATGAAAAAAAAAATGTATTCTATTCTATACTTTCTTATTTTATCTCAATATATTGCATCAGCTTGGTTAAAAATGGTATGATGTAATAGTCTCAAATCTTCACACCATTAATTCTTCAGAGTATTATACTGTATGTGGATGAAATACTTTTAAATCTGATTGCTCTAAAATAACTCATATGAACACAAATTCGTTTTTAAACACAATATTCTTGTTATTCCAAATAACAGAATTTGTGGAAATGTAATCGTTGTCATACAACTCGGACAGACAATAGACAATAACATTGGTGTTAAAGTTGCTGCTAGCTAGCCTACTTACATTATTCATTTAGCTGACGCTTTTATCCAAAGCGACTTACAATTGCTAAATATGTCAATGGTCGCACGCCTCTGGAGCAACAAGGGGTTAAGTGTCTTGCTCAGGGACACATTGGTGACTCACGATGGATTCGAACCCTTGTTGCTCATACCAAAGGCATGTGTCTTATCCACTGCGCCATCACCACCCCTTACTTCCCTTTGCAGTTACAGAATGGAAAGAATCAACATTGCTACCAAAAGATCTCAACCGCATCAATGAATAATCATCATTAGGCTTACTCTTAACTTTCCTATTTCAAGTTGTTACAACAATTTCACATGATGTCCCCAGTGCGAAGGTAAGAGGGGTTTTGAGGATAGCAAGTTAACTGACGTCATTGTAAAAGAGCCTATTCTGCTTAAAATCTTTTGTGTACTAATAAATAAATTAAGTTTAAAATTAAATTATGAGGGTTTAACAATAAACTGCAGTACATTAATATAAAAACACAAGATGGTTTTTTTTGTCCAGGTCATTAATAGACATTTATTGCTTAGTTCAAATATGTACACACAGTGAACATAACATTTAAGGCCTTAGACCTGTAAAGTTGAATCTAATAGCAAACCGGTTTTAATTATGAATTGCAGATGGATTGTTTTGTGTGATTATACTTATTGTTTAACCTATTGACAACATTCTGTATTCAATATTCTAACAAAACGTTTGTTTTCACTAAATAAATTAATGTTTGCTAAAACAATCATTCAGACTATTGTACATTCATGGACTTTTTTTGAACAGATAAATTTACTGTGATGGCTCGATGACCTTTGTAAATATTTGTTTTGTATACGTTTCAGTGAAATTTCCAAGCAAATCTTCAGTTGAAGACCTAAAAGTAGTTGAGTTGGGGATTTAACAAGTGTTTGGTTTCCGTCCGAACTAAATTAAGCATTTTACCTAAATTTGTTAAATTTGCTGCATTGATTTCAAGTTAGGAGAGACCTGTTTGGAAAAAAAAAAAAGAAGTAAAAGTTATGAACTTGTATTCAGCATGATGATTCATTTAAGCATTAAAGGGCTTTATTTGTTGTTAAATGTCATTTTGGGATATGGATACTATAAAGAATGGTGCAAAGTGTTTAATTTTATTAACTGTTTGTGTCATTCACCTCAAAGTCTGTCCCTGTGCATTTCTGAATGTCAGCTGGTGTCAGACCCTCCCAAACCTCAATCAGGGTTAAACCTTTATTCTTGTCCACATCGAATACCGCCTGGAGAAGAATGGACAACAATGTGACCATGACAGAAGTCCCATCAAATGTGCAGCCATGTGTAAGTGTAACTCTTCTGACCTTGAGGATTAGGTTACACAGGGCAGAGAAATGCAATGTAGTGGAAAAAAAATAAGCAGAAAAAAAAACACAGAAAAAGCACTTTGTGATATAATGAAATAAAAACATGTTTCTGTCTGGGAACACATTGAAAACTTGGGAATTTAAACCTGGAAATAGTTATGATGAAAAAAAAAGGAATAAGAAATATTTCCAACTTCTTGGTCACTATTCAAATAAGTCATTCTTGCTTTCACTAAACCTCTAGATGCTCTTTGGATCAAATCATGCTTGAGAAAATGGCCATCGAGTTCAATATAAAGCTTATTATAAAAGTTGCTCATTAATGGAAAAGGGTCATACAAAATACTTGGCCATTCAGAAAGTCATGTTAATTTTTCTTATTTAACTTTTCACTCAAATTGGTATGCTGATAACATAAAAATGTAATATACAAGTACATTTGTAAGATACAAACATATTAACTAATGGTCTTAGACTTTTCTACCCCACTGTATATTAAAAACTAAATAATTACTCAATCCAACCACAGTCTTTATAGCACTATATCACATGCACTGCAGATCTGTGCCAAGATAAAATAGAGCTTTATTCATAATAATTCTGCTCTGTAAAATCAGCATTGTTTATCTTTTGATCTTTCATTTAAAAAATGCAAAAGCAGAACCTTTCATTGAAGTAAAATAATTGAAAGTCGTAGGAAAATCACATTATGAAATAAATGTTTTTCATAATGTGTATCATTAATATAATAACAACACTTTATTGTCCTACACTCTAAAGAATGCTGGGTTGGTTTTACCCAATTTTGCGCCAAATATGGACAAACCCAGCCGTTGGGTTACATTTTTAAATCGCATTTTTAATCCAACGTTTGGGTTTGTCCAAATTTGACCCAAAATTGAGTTAAAACAACCCAGCATTTTTTAGAGTGTAATACTGCAATACACAATGTTGTTTGTAGAGGGATAAAAACATGTGTCTGGGTCACAATGACCTGCAAGAGGTCAAGTGCATGCATTGCGCATGCTAAAGGCTATTACTGAACCAAATCATGTATGTTTGCATGTTCAGTATGACCCAGATCTAATTTTCCTGTAGTCTCATTACACCCTGTACCTGTGGAGCACAACCTGCCATGGCCAGCACGCTTGCTGTCACTTCGCCTTGAGCCTGCTGTCTCTGTATCCTCTCTTCCACCTGAATGAGAGGCTCTAATTGCTGGAGGATTTGCTTGGGTGTGTAACAATGCAGGCGATGGCATTAATCTACCTGCCAGTGTCCCAGCCGTAAACTCTGACAGTCCAAAAAAAATGTTTCTCTCCTCAGAGATATTGTGGCGCATGCTTGTTTATTTTTTTCCAACAATCAGGGGAAGGCAAATTGAACAGTCAAATATGGCAAGATGGATGGCGTAATCACATCACAGCTTGCCAGCAATGTTTCTATAAAAACTTTCATTGCTGGAGATATGCGTGCTGCTGAGATGACAAGTGGCAAATTGGCCCAGAAAGCCACTTTTAGATTAATATTCATTCTAGGAAACAATGTTTTCTCTGTATTAGTTACATTTCTAGGACAACACATGAAAAAGCATCTTATAATAAAAATAAGACCTTTAATATATGAATCACATACATTAAGTTTCATTCATTGGCTCGAACAGTTAAGTTTCATTCATTGGCTCTTTATTTGTAATATTTATGTGGGAGGTTCAAAAAGACAGCTAAACCCTCATGCTCTTCTGAGAGTGACTTTACAGTCTTTATGTTAGGGGTCAACAGTAATTGGGAAATGTAGGGTATAATGGGGTTAAAGGTGCCTCAGAGTAAAAGGCTCCTTTGATTTTATTTTCCTCTAACCCATAAAAACTTGCCATAGCACTTTCCAAAAAATTTGCTTTTCAAGATGCAAGAGGAAATTGTCTGATCCTTGATGCGATTTAAATAGCAATCGAGATTCGCAAAAATTATTGAATATATTTCGAGACAACAGTCTTAAAGATTTTCGGTTTTGTTCAAAGTGATTTAATAATGAAAGAATATGTAAAAGTATGGTTTTTGAGGTAAAACGGGCCCCTGCTATTGCGGCGAAAGGTACAATAATTGACATGAAGCTGACTTTTCCATTTCTATGGAAGCCCGTTTCTGCCACAGTTGAGTAAAAAAAATATAATTCTGTAAGTCATAATATTGAGAAACTTTTTCATAGTTGACTTAGGTTCTCATCATATTAAAAAAAAAAATTTAATGAGAATAATGAGAAGTTTGGCGCAAAAAGGAGGCGTGTATTGGCGCAAACATTCCCTAGTGCTATTTTGCAGTTCCAGAAAACAATTCCACCACTAACCAGAAAAAAAACTAGTCTAAAGTCAGTGGTGCATTGCGCGTTGTTCATAATGCTATTTTAAGTGCACATGCTAGGCCATAATGTAGCGGGTGCACAACACGCATACACTCTGATTCTCTCATCAACACAGATGCAGAAGTTTTTATTTTTGCAAATCACACATAATAACAAGGAAAAATATTAACACATGAGGGAAATCTATACTATAGATTTGAACTATATAACATTGATTAGTTTTATATACGTACATTGATTTGCTCACCAGTTTGCTCAAGTAACATGCAACACTCGCGTATGTCAAGTTGAAGTTAGTCGCGGACGTGGAGCTCTCGGCATCTCGAAAGATGTTGATATTCGTTTTAGTCCACTTTTTGTCTCAAAGTCTGCTTGCCATGGTCCATGCTAGGGACGCTCACACTGCTCACACGCCCCGTTTCCTTGGTTAAAAATCGCAATTTTCTGACGATTTACAAATAGTTGGAAACATTCGGGATATTGTAAGTAATCAACTAAACAAAATATATAACATTGGCTTAGTGGTTTTTGGATATTTTACAGCAAAAATCCTACATATTGTACCTTTAATAAAAGCTGTATTGTCTTGTTAGGCCATTGTATCAAAGAAAGCATGATTTATTTTCATGTATTATTACTATTATTCAGAAAACTATTTATTTAGAAGAATAATATTGTTTCTGAAGAAAAATTGCACAAACTTTCAAAATCTTGAGGTTGTAGTACTAAATAAGTAATATGATAACTAGTAAAATAAACAACTATATTACAGTTGTTGTATATAAACAGCCATCAGAAAATGTTAACGTGAAAATTAATCTGTTAACGTTTAACCCCAAACAGACAAAATATTTTTGTTAATAGGATACTTGGTGGCTTTTTCTAATCTTATGAGAACTGATTACAGTTAATTCAGTTCTTTGATACTGAAAAAAATAACATTCTTCTTTTATCAAGTTGAAATTATAATCAGTTCTCTGCAATCAGTCCTCTTAAGATTAGAAAAAGCCACCAAGTATCAAGCGGATACTTCATGTTTCTTGAGCTACTACAATGGCCTTGGGGTCTCGCCGAACATGAAGGTTAAACATGCGAGCGGGTCTTCTTATTACCAGAGCTGAAGCTCAGCTTGTTAGGCTGACAGACAGCGGCTGTGTTAAACAGCGGGGTGGCATGACAAACACAGGCTGAATAGAAGGTGGTGGCAGTGTAGCTGGAGAGCTCTAACCTTTATAAATGTTGACAGAATCCTTTCATTGGAAACCACGTAGTGTGATTGTTACAAAAGCAAACACTCGCAAAGCATATAAAGAGGAGAAGTAGGGGACAGGGAAAAGACTAAAAGTTAAGAAGGGGAGGAAGACGGGTATTACTGCAGTTCTACAGTTCAGTGATAACACTGGTGTGATGAGAGACCGGCTCAAGTAGTGCCAGCAAGCAGTCCATAAAAACCAGCAGCGCTGAGCAGCTGAACAACTGCATCATTCAAGAGCCCCTTGACCATCTCCTAAGGCTTTTTTGATGAGATGAGAGGACAACAAATCCTTATTTGGGATTTAACAACCAAGTCTTCACAATCCAGCTAGGATTTTCCCAGCTCTCTGCTCCTTGGCCATGTGGCAGGGCTGATAATATTATTACGTAACATTCACATTAAAGAGCTCTGTGTTTGAAAAAAATATGTCGATGTGTAATGTCGCTCCGATCAGGAGATTTGATTAGGGTTGGTCCGATAATTCGATTTCCATTTTCTACTGCCTATGTGCAGTGTCATAACAATTGCTCATGTCCCTTTATGTCTTTGCACATGCGTTCAGAGAAAAGAGCAAAGCCATTTTCAAAGCTTTTCACTGTGGTGACCAAGGCTGATTCGGTATATTGATGAAGTGATAAGCTGCTGAATAGATGACATTTATTCTGTACCAGAAGAGATTGGTGTGGGCTGTTGATTAAAGCAGTCTCCTAATGCTAAAAGGGTAAAAAACTATGAATCTTTTAATATCAAAACCCACCTTTTCTGTGATGATACGGTCCACACACTGTTTTCCGGTCAGAGGTAGATTGCATTTCTCCATGATCTTGTGTTTACCACCCTATGAAATACATCAAATAACAAAACAAAGACTATAAAATACACTGTAGAATAAATACAAAAATGTTTAATCTTTAATCCTTATAAATAAATATAGAAATTAGGGCTGTCAGTAGATTTTTTTTTTTTTTAAATTGTCATCACAACCTTTTGTGCGATTAATGAATCATGAAATTAAATTGAAATTGCAAAATGAATCTTCGGTCTAATAACACACTGGTACCTAGTCAACCATTCTCTGAAAATTTGTTTTCATGATAATCAAATGCAAAGAGTTTTATCTCTAAAAACTGTTTAACGTATAACACTAGTATATAGGGCTTAGAGTAATGAAAAATAAAATCTCTAGTACCACTAACAAGGCTCAAAATAGACCCACAATAACACAGTAACTTAATGAGGGTCCCTACATGCAAAACGAAGCATTGAGAACGTTTTAAGTGTACAGACCGTTTAATAAGAAGATATTTTATAAAGACATGTCCACTTCACATATACAGGCAGGAGCCTGTATCTTTGGAAAACAGTCTCGACCAGTCGAACCACGAACGGCGTGACCAGTGAGCTGAACTGTGACTTGTAATCTTGTAATCTTTTAGCTAGCGGTTTTGACTAATTTCTACTAAAAATAAATTTACACTACATTCCATTTTGATTATAAATTTGGATTTCAATTCTCCATGGTCAATTTAGAGATTTAGGAATGAAATGTAAAAAAGGAATTCTCACTTGAATCCTGAAATTAAATTCATCCTCCACTCAGCCAATGTAGGGTACAGAAGACACTCAAAACTAGCTGTGTTCATCATCAACCGTAATGGATATACTGGTCCTGCCATGTTCTTTTGGATCTGGAGATAATAATTAGATAGCTGATGGTGGTTAATTCTACTCATGTCCAGAGAGCTCGTCCCACCAGGGGCAGGCAGCTGGCCCTGGTAGCCACCCCACAGGGCAGCCACTGCCAGCATGAACAAAGCAAGGGCAGCATATGAACAGCAGTCATATCTTTCTACGCTCATCCCTCTTGTCTTTCACTCAATCTCTGCCTGGGCCGATGCGATCTGAGTGGTGTGAAGGGAATTATGTCACCACTGTCATAAACGAGACTACTGCGACCCTTGAACAAATTTAAGCAAATTTCACAGATGGGAACACTAAACTCTGACTGATTATGTCATTGTCATTTATTTTCAATAGGGTGTTTTGATGATGGACACAGAAAAGCATCCAAATCTATGTTTTTTTTTTTCTCCCCAGTGCTAATTGAATTAAAACAGACTGCATGACGATTTCGTTTGAGGCAGCTTCTTTACAGCATATGAGATGAATTGAAAAACTGCAAATGCACTGCATACACTAAATGCACTGCGTACCTAAAAAACTGTTTAAACGGAATAGTTAAGAGCACTATCACGTCGTTCCAAACCGCATGCTGTCAAATGTTTTTGAAGAGACTTTATTGAGCTCATTCCATTCAATCACAGTTCATAAGGCTGTCAAGCTAGAGAAAAGCACCATAAAAGCAGCAGAACATGTAGTCCATGTGACTCACGCAGTGTATTACAAGTCTTCTAAAGCTATACAAAGCTATCGAAAGGCTTCAAAAAATGTGAAATATGAAGCATGACTACACTGGACACAACAGTTGCCACGCTACAACAGCTAGAGGCTGTAAAAAACACTAGACGTAAAAAAACGATCATTGCAAATCCATTTGTTTTTCGTGTCAGAAGCAGTGCAAGCACTTTAAGTACGTCTGAAATATAACGGGGCATCAGTTTACCGTCAAGAATTGGTGGCATCCAGTGTAGACAGGATCGCAGATTATAATGGGCTCTATTTGCTTTTAATGCATCGCATCCTTCGCGTCTGGTGACAATGTGTCAAAAAGCCAATTTTGTGATACTTTCTTGTGGGGATGCACCAATATTAAAACTGCGGTTGACACCTTTAAACCTATAATTATTTTCATGTCATGGCCAACAATTTAGAAAATACCCATCTTAAAATTCTGTACTATTTTGTCTAAATACATAATTTTTTTTAGATGTTATTTATACATAGTGCAAACTGTGGCAGATACCATTTGTACATCAGTGTATTGTAACAACAGTGTGCAGCATATTCAATGAAAATGATCATAAGTTTATTAAAATCATAAAAATGTGTTAATTATTGGGACATTACTTGTCCCTGTCCCTCTTCCTCTACTCTCCCCTACCCATAACCCTACCAGTTAAACCCTTTATTCCCACTATTATATACCCATTAGGCACTTTATTTCCATTTTTTTTTAAATATTTTCTTTATTTTTTTAAATTAATGTCGCTTCGAACTGATATGCGACGGAAAAGGGCATATTCGAACTCCGGTCAGTCATGACTAGCGCCAACCACCGGATTTCTTATCTAATTTTGTCTGGCTCAATTAGACAATGGTGGGTTAGTGTCATACAGAGTTAGTGTATATACCCTTTGCCAACAAGAAGGGCTATTTATTTGAACTTGATGTAAATAGACACTCAGAAAAATAAAACCCTGAAAAACAAAAAAAAAAATTATTTTAGATGCTAAAGGTGAATTTAGGCATTATAACATTCTGAATTATATGCAGTATGAAAAATGGATATTTTCATTTTTTTAAATTTGCTAAAGATTATGGTGTATTGTGTAAAACATTGTTTAAAGATGAACTTTAAGTGAGACTTAATCTAAACGTAAAAACTGAGGAAATGAGAATATGGCTAAATGTGTTGTGCTTCCATAGTTTGTCTGTTTCTGTTGTTGTTGTTGTTGTTGTTTTTTGTGCTGTTTGGAGCTCCTGGTAAATATAAACTGTATAGCAAAAATTTTATTTTGTGAGTAAATAATGATAGAATATTCATTTTTGGACAACTATTAGGTTGCAAACATACGAGGCATATACCATTGACACTGTCTGCACTGCTGAAAGCTTCTCAGAATAATGACGCCTCTCCAACTGTCTGCTTAGGGAAAAGAGATTCTGTCACTCACGGGAAATAATGATGCCCTTCTCACAGGAAATACGTGTCATGCAATGTGACTCAATAAGAATCTGTTCATTAAAACTGATTGATGCAATCAACACAATTCCTTCTACATTTAAAACAAACTACTTGCAATAGGAATTACAACAAATACCACATTGTACCTTCGTAAAATGATGTTCAATGCAACATATTTTGGTCTTATATTTTAATCTTAAAGAGCTGATTTTCCATCCTCTCAAGGGAAAGAGACATTACTTATTTAACCTTTTTAAGCAGTGTTCCAAAAGTGTTGACATTTTTTAAAAACTAGTTTTAAATTGGTATTTTCGAGGTGGGGAAAGAGTTCCAATTTAAATGGTGATTCTGGTGACCTAGAAAGGCATTACATGACATGGATAAATATACAAATATGACTAATACCTATATGATGTTGGTCCAGTGGTATGATTCTTACTTCGACACAAAGGATACCGGGTTCTAAACAAGTCTTCTAAAGTTCTAAACGGGTTAGACCGCATACAGTCTATAACTTTGAATCTAGCAAGCAAAATTGCTAACATACACTGCCATTTAAAAGTTTGGGGTCAGTAAGATTTTTTTATGTTTTTTTGAAAGAAATCTTTTATGCTCACCAAAGCTGGATTTATTTGATCAAAAATACAGTACAAACAATAATATTGTGAATTATTGTGAATGTAATTTTACTCCTGAGATCAGTGTCACATTATCCTTCAGAAATCATTCTAATATGCTGATTTGTTATTCAAGAAACATTTTGTATTATTATCAATGTTAAACATTTAATTTTGTGGAGACCGTAATACACTTTTTTTTAGGATACTTTGATAAATAGAAAGCATTTTTGATCAGCAGTTTGCATTTCAACAAACTTTCACTGTCATCTGATCAATTGAATGCGTCTTTGCTGAATAATTTCGGTCCCACTTTATATTAAGTGGCTTTAAGTACTATGTACTTTCATTGAAACAAATAATTTGATACAATGGACTTATTGTGTACATACAGTTAGTTTTTACATTGTACTTATATTTTTTAAAATGCCAGCATGTAATTACAGCTGTAACTAATTTATGTAATTACATCTGTAATTACACAGCTGACCCATCCCTTACACTTTAACCTACCCATACCACCACACCTGTCCCTAACCTTACCCAGATCACACCTCAATAGCAGCAAAAAATGTTTTACAATACAACATGAGCAGAAGTACGTTGTACTTATTTTTCAATGTAAGTTCATAGTACTTAAAGCCACTTAATATAAAGTGGGACCATAATTTCTTTCAAAAAGAAAAAAAAAACATTTGAAGGAAAGTGGAAACGGCACACTTTTAGCAGTATTATACTTTTTCAATTTGCTACTGCTATGAGGAAAGCATAAATATGTCATGAATTTTTGTAATGAAGGGTCTTTTTGAAGTCATAACAAAGTCACTGGAAATGGAATGCGTGTACTGGATCAAAATTGAATAAAAAAAAAATTAAATAAAATAAATTCCATTCGAAGGTCCCGGAATGTTATTCTGGATCATTCTCGCCAAATTGAACCCCTGCTTATAACAGCACCAGAACACTTTATTGTTTGTTGTTCCGCTTGTATTAATTAGAAACATTCCAGAATGGCTTTCAGTTGCTCTGTGACATGCGAAGCTTGATAATTTGGATTCTTTTGGAACTAATTTCATTAGCAGAGCACAAATAGGCATCCTCATTGTGTGTCTGAATGCAAATTACACTATTATTTACAAACTGCAAACAAATTCAAATGTAATATAGAAAGCCAGCATAACGTAAACTCATGATTACACCAACCTTAGCAGAGTGCTCCATTGTAACAACCACTTTAGTTCCAGCACTGGCCACTAGATCCATTGCCCCTCCCATGCCTTTCACCATCTTACCCTGAAGGGAACATGGAAAAAAGATGTTGCAAGAAATGAGCAACACACACATGTACTTCAAAATACATTGTTATGTTACACAGATTAATTCAGGTTGTATGAAACAAATGAGACACTTAAACAATTCAAATGAAATCCTATGTGTTTTAGTTCAATTCAAGGTGGACAAAAAAGCTTGATCAAGTTTGTTTTGGAGGAGATTTGAAAGGGCATTGTTGCTAGGAAACCATAAACCTGATTACCTATGGCTGGAGTCACTTAACAAAAGGGCCTTTTCAGTGACGCTGATTTTATTGTTTTTTTCTCAAACACGCATGGATGCAGACACAAGCACAAACACAAACTGGGCACATGGATGCTAAGAAATCCATGAGGAGTATATGTGTTAACACAACGTCTGATAATGACACTTGTTTTGTGCCATATAGATTTTGCTTCGGCTTTGAATGCATCAACACAACATTTCCTGCCGTCCCTGAAGCAACACATTAAGTCAATGCCTAAATATTCTCCATTCCTCTACGAAAAACACATTTTTTTTCCAGTGCCTTGACCGTTCATGCTTGCTGATCCCCTGTGGTGTCATTTTACAGCAATTTCCAAACTCTATTTTATAGGCTGTGGGACTTCATTCAAGAAAATGTCTTCTGCTGTTTCTCTAAGTATTCGGCTTGAGCTCAACCAGCATGATCTCCTTCAGTCTCCAACAGAGACAGACACACTTGAAATGCTTGAGGAGAATCTCAATAAAGAGAGGTGAATATAAATGTAATACCAAGTCTTGATGGCTTTTTCCAGGTGTCGGATATGGTGGAATGCCTCATAAAATAAATATTATGAAAAATATTAATATAAATAAGTCTCTTTATCTTAATGGCAAGATATCACAGGATCCTAATATGTGGCAAAATTATGATGATGTCCTTAATAGACCTAAATAAAGGATTATGAAAAGTCATTCCTGTTTTTGTGCTGGGCAAATCTTATGGAGTTTTCACACTGCGTGGTATGGCTCGGTACAGCAATGTACGGCACAACTTGCCTCGCTTTTCCACTGCGTGGGAAGACTCGGCGCGGCTCGGTTAGGTTTCCAGCCACTGTAGTTAGTACCGCTTTAAAGTGGGTGGGATTATAGACTGATCGTTATAGTTGATCGCCTACTGCTGTGACATCATCTGCTTCTCGGCTACTACAAGAGGAGCGTCTACACCTCATCAACTGACCACGATTCAGCTATTTATTTTTTCAAGTTGCGTGTAATGGTCGTTTAAAGCAATTTGTTTAAAAAAGTTGTATGAACAAATGATATTGTGGTTGCGGCTGCTGCTAGCAGGTTGTTTCGCAAATCCAATGACGTTAGTTGTGACGATTCTTTCTGACCAATCAGTGATCTGCAGTGTTTACACGTCACATTTTAATATCTATATGGCACTCTTGGAAGGCTTCAACATGGCTGTGTTTAGAATTAGAAATATATATATATATATATATAAAAAAAAAAAAATTCCCACGTAAACGATTGTAGCCCATGAAAAAATGTTGAAAATAAAACTTAAAATTCACTGAAGGTGTAAGATTGGTGAACCAAACACAAATAAATCTTCCATATGATTTATTCAAACAAAATTCAACACTCCAGACCTAAAATCAATCTTCGAGAACCATAAAGATCCAGGTTCCAGCTAGTCTACGCTAAACTATGACTGCAAGCTTCAAAGAGGCGAGCCTAAAGAGAGGACGAACGTTGTCAAAGTTAGATAGTTTGGAAAAGACTGATTGGTTTAGAGATGGACCCACCAAGATAGCAGAGCAGACATACAGTAAGAACCCAAATAGATCAGAAGAACATGGGTTCAAACAGCTTCATTCAAGCCATCTAACTACTTGTCTCACTTTTCTTTGAGAGTCTCGGTTCTAAGTTAAGTTTTGCTGCAAAGTTTCGGTAACACGTTTCGACTGCAAAGCGCTTCAAACTTCAAAAGACTTTCATGCATCCGCCAACACACCATGTGATTTGTCGCCCGAAGATCTATCCAGGCACGAGAAGACCACCAGCCAAGCAACGGACACGGGAAACCCCCTTTTACTCAGACAATGGGAATCCCGAAAGCAACGGCAGGACAAGCAAGTAGTACTCTAGACTCTAAGCTGAACTGGTGCATTGATATAAATTGAATAACCCACCTAAGAAACGATAGAAGGGTTAAATTAAGGGTTAATTGTTTTCTTTCTGCAACTCGTAAGAATGTGTGATTGAATATTTATATCCGCTGCAGAGATTATAGTTACAAAACGTTCAAATGAATGCTGGACGAGTCATTTGCATGGCCGTATAAGTGATTCTGTTAAGATTCCCTATAAATTAATTGAAAATTCCCTTTTAAAGCTAAATTGGCCTGTTTAACCCCCTTAAATACATATATATTTATATACGCAAGTTGTCTTACAAAGGAATAGCCTACTTTGAACATGAAGTTTGTGTAGGCTAAACACGCAGGGCCACTACCTTCTCCAAATCAAACAGTGGGCTAGAAACATCTGTTGCAGTCTTCAACAGGGCTACATTTATGATTTAAGCAATTCAAAAATCGCCAAAATTTAATTGAACGTAATTCGAACCAGCTGTGCATAAAGCCAATTAACAGTGCAGCGGGGTCTAATTTCACACTTCCTCGTTTCCATCGACCCCTGGTACATTTGCATTCATCTCACATAATCACAAACATGCATGGTGATGAAAACAGGACTCTGGTGAACGACACTTTTGTACTGTATGTGCATTGCATGGAGGCAAGACTGGGAGCCATTAATTTGCAGCTCAGAGAAGAAGAAATAGCGATAATGTTTGGACTGCTTTTTACAGAAAGTTTGTGGGGAAAAAAGAAAAGGGCCTAGATGAAGTTTTCTGTCAGCACACTTTGTGATTTTTCTTTGAATTCGAAAGTCTTTAAAGTTCAATGATTCTTTTGAACTGGCAACATTTTGTTTCAAATAATTATTTTTGTGAGGTATTCATTGAAATGTATCTTGGTGTAGTTGCTGTTCCTACAACTTAATAACAATAGAAAATAAATGGTGCCGTATGATTCACAAATTACATTAAATGACGTAAATAGATATGAAATTTGAACTGTAATTTGTCAGATGTTGAATCATATGCATTAACCAGTTAAAAATGGTCCGAGAGTCTCAAAACCACAACGTGCAAATCAATTAATCAACCATCAAGCTCTTATAATCACTGTTGGCTGTTAACACAGAGAGCTTGACAGCATGCAAATAAATTACTGGGAGCAAAGTGGAAAGGAAGAGATCCATGTGCAAACACCTGCATGTGCGTTTTTTTTCTTTCATTTATGCAGGCTTTGAAGCAGGCACATTCTGGAAGGAGAACTGTTTACACGGTGGGAAAGAGCCACATGGAAGTGTGTGGGTGTGTGTGTGTGTATGTGTTGAGGGGATATTTCACATGAAAAAAACCCGCAACTTTAGTGGACAGCAGACTGAGAGTTTCCATGACAACTTATCAAATATTTCCCCTGTAAATCACACTACCCTTGCATTTCATGCCTACTGATGAAGACAAGAAATTATGCCCCTCACTTCAGGCAATTTCCTTTTGTCGGCTTGCGTCCTTATCCGCTCCTCTAAACTAATTCTCTCCTACACAAACTGGCTGGACATTTACATGTGTGGTGATTCAACGGTGGCTGGCGTTAATGCCGTTTCCTAGACAACAATTGAAGCGCCAGTGACAGTGTGACAAAAGGCTGTGTAGTTTAACAGAGCTGAACATCTGCAGTCAATTGAATAAGTCTTCACATCTTGAAGGACCTGTGAACTTTATGGAATAACATTTCATGTTCTTTCTTTTTTTTAACTATTAACTAGAAACATAACCTTTTGGCAAGCAGGCTTGCCTCTGTGCAGCATATAACCCGCTGTCGCAAGTCCAAAAAAAAAGTAGTTTCATCCAAAAAATTAAATTCCATCATCATTAACCTCATCATGCTCCAAACTTGACATTTCCAAAACAGCTCTGATGCGGATTCCACAAGACTCTTCTGTCCTGTGGTTTCTAGCACCAAGACATTAAGGGGCCATCAAGGGGTATACCTGGTCTGACAGTGGAACATGTCAAAGTAACATCCACATGACACACACCCAGCCATCCACTTGAGCTAAAAGAAAACTTGATTAAATCAAACCAGGCAACCTTTGTTTATTCAGCGTTTATTCATTGCTCATGTGCCCATTGTAGGTGCTTTCAGCAGTGGACAGGGGTCATCATGGGCAGCTATGCAGCCCCAAACGCAGCACAGAGTGATGCACTGGGTGTTCTGACACCTTTCTTAGTTAGATAATGCGTTCATGACCTCGAGGCTAAATTATTGTTATGCTCTACTGGGTGGTTGCCCTGCACGCTGAATAAACAAACTCCAACTGGTACAAAACGCAGCAGTTAGGAGTTCTTACTAGAACCAGAAAATATGACCATATTAGCCCGGTTCAGTCAGCATTGCATTAGCTCTCTATTAAACACTGCATATATATTTAAAATCTTATGCTAATTATTTACAAAGCACTAAATGGTTTAGCCTCCAATATTTGAGCGAGCCCTTAGCGCATTATAGTTCTTCACGTTTATTCCGATTAAAAAATTCTGGCCTGTTGATAATAGCTAGAATAGCAAAATCAACCGTAGGCGGCAGATCCTTTTTCTATTTAGCATGTAAACTTTGGAACAGCCTTCCTAGAATTGTTCAGGTAGCAGAAACCCATCTCTTTAACCTTACTTACACATAACATATAATCAATTTCTATTATTCAAATCAGTTAAATGATTGTTAGGCTGCATATACTAGGTTAGCCGGAACCAGGAACACTTCCTATGGTTCCCTATGTACTCGTTATATCATAAGAAGAATGGCATCTACGCTAATATTAGTCTCTCTGTTTATTCTGAGGTTTAAAGCCGGTAGTCATCCGGATCCGGGCAGGAAGACCTGTGCCTAGACGCAACGCATCCCTGAAGTGTCAGCAAAGATTGTGTCAACTAGACTAGACAACTAAACTCTGTGAAGGCTTCATCGACACGACAGCCAGTGGCACTGATCCTCAACAAATCCATCTCCATATCTTCAACCAGATGGAACTGGATGAAGTATTTTGAATTTTCCGATCTAATCTTACTTCTGACCTGTAACGCTGCCTGAATCATAATCATACTGTTCGTTTGTTGTCCAGAGGAGAACTGGCCCCCCACTGAGTCTTGTATCTCCCAAGTCTTTTATTTCTCTATTCTGTCAGCTGATGGAGTTTGGGTTCCTTGCCATTGTCGCCTCTGGCTTGCTTGGTTGGGGACACCTAATATTGCACAAAATTATTGATCTTCCTGCACTGACACAATTGTATGGGAACTGAGCTGGACGATGACATTACTATTTGAAATTTTAAATTAACTAAAGTAATAACTAACGATTTTTACAAAAGAAATGAATCAAGACTGAACATGGGGGTGCCCATGGCTCATTGATATATACCTGTATATATATATAAAATTTACATATTGGTCGGGGGCTAGTATGATTAAATAAAAACAATTTGCATGATATTCCTATATAATTAACTGTCCTAAATAATGCATTAAATTGAAAGCCATGAAACATATAAAAGAGAACAAGATGCAGAGACTGAGCAGCTTCTGTGGCCTTAAGTTCTGTCAGGTAATGGGTAATTTAAAGTGGACTATAATTTTGCGTCTGGGTTTGCTGAAAAGCTGTATGAGAGGCATTTCTGAATGAGGGTCAAGAGTTAGAGAGTCCTAACTCAGGTTTGTGCACATGAATCACATCTTTTTACAAGAGAGTGTGTGGGTGTTGGGATGTGGAAGCAAGCAGGATTATTTCATCTAGTTCAGAACATGTTCGACCCCCATTTTTGCATCAGCGTGGTACATTATAATTAAAAGCACATCGTGACTATAAAACGAGGAATTTTCCCTTCTTCTTGTCCATAAAAAAAAAATAGCTTCACCATAAAAAGCAACCAAAATCCTTCCTTTACAAATGAATGCCAACCAGTTCTTCTGAGAGCTCAAGGCTGATGTAGTACATTTGTTTGTTTTTTTTGGATTAAGCTGTCCTGGAACATTATAAATGCTAATTCGTAATCCCCTTTACCAATGCTTTAGGGGCATTTTCCAAGGACACACTAGAGGCAGTGCGTCCTCCACAATCAACAGCACAAAAATAAAAATGAAATTTGATAGGTCAAAGTGGCAATTCACACTGCATGTGTTTTTGAATTGAAAAAAACATGAGATGCTGGCAGTGGAATAAGAAAAAAACAAAACTTCTTTTAACTTTAGTGCTGCGTTTTTAGAACTCTGTGTCAAGCGCAAGATGCTGCACAAGATGCAACGCGAATTCTGCTGTTAACATTCAAATTAATGCATGCATGCGTGAAAGTTGACTCTCTATGTTCAGAACATTACCACAGGTATTCTGGTGGTGGTTTGGAAAGTGAATAATGCATGTCAGCTTGGTTAAATATATTAACCTCCATATCTGTAGACATCATAACACCTGTGGTGTTTACCGAAGATTTGCTGACTAATGGTCTGAAAAGTGACAATTAATGAGAACAGCTGAACAACAGTTACCCCCAAAAATCTCCCCAAAATAATAGCTCAATTCAAAAGTTCTTCTTTTACTGGTACTTGCCCCCTGTCAAAAATGTTATGACTATTTGATGTGGCATGTCTTTATCATCATTTTTGGGATGCTGAGGAAAAGGAGAGCTGCTGGAAGAGACGGGGTTGAGTAATGTCTCCGTTCTTCTCTTGATAATATGATTCTTCCAGCTCCAGGCCCTCTGGCTACATTACAGTCTGTTGTCCTTTTAGTCTTGAGAGGTGGCCGGGGAGCCCACAGTAATTGGAGGGATTATTGTGATTAGTCTGTCAGGCTTGTCTGATTCATTAAGAGTTTAAAGGCTGAAGACAGCTTAGAACAGCACACTCTGTAGCACTGCATGGAAATCAATTTATCTTTGATAATGTATCCTGATGTCCCCACAGATAGCGGATGGACAAATGGACGGACAGAAGGAATTTTATCAAATAATGGAATGCACAATATAATATAGCAAATCCTATTCTGCCCAGCACTCGTTGAAGCTCTATTATAGGGGGACTGTAACTTGATTGGTACAGCAATCAAAACCAAGGTCAGGTGTTTGATTACACTTTGCGTAATTCGATAACAAAAAGTGATAAATTGTATACTCTGAATGCTCTGTCGCTGTCACTTAAAAAAACGCTTTAATTTATGTTATCAGCTCACAAATCCATATCTTCACCATCTCAGGCACATTAAATAGCACATGTTTCATGAATGTAATCTCTGCATATCAGCGTATGCTTCACATTTTGGCCTTGTCAAAGTGCAAGTGAGGAGACTTGGGATAAAAAGCAAGGAACACAAAAAAAGAGACAGGGAGGGGGAAAACAACACTGAAAGCAGAGTGCAGCTCATGGTCCATGTGTGCCAGTTTGCAAGAAATAACCTTCAAGCAAACTCGATAAGCGAGACGTGCAGAGGGCTGGGAGGCATCAGTCAGTGACAGGGCGAGGGCCCTGGAGAACTATAAATAACCCTGCAGAGGTGTCTGTATGCAGGGCAGCTGTGTATCGACAGCCCCTCAACTGAGTGCAGGACCAGGCGCCACAGGCGACAGCCAGCTGAAGAATGGCTCCAAAAAAACCCACAGCCAACATTGACTCTCATTAAGCCTCGGAAACCCTTTTAATAACCTAAAGGGAAGCAATGACTTTGGATTTAGGCCAATATAACAGGCTAACAATGTGTAGACAATATACTTGGATGACTGTAAGGAGTAGTACTGAACAATGTGAACACAAGTAAACTAATAATGGAAAGGAAAATGTTTTGACATGCAGTGAGTCTGATTAACTGGAGCTTGTGTTAGCACACACTGTATACAGTGCAATTAATTTGTTGAGTATTACAAATTTTATTTATTGTTTCTTTTAGTGCTTAACGGGTGGATTGTGTCCCAAAAGGGCCTAAATAAATATATAAACACCTGTTCAATTTCTCATCAATGCAATTATCTAATCAACCAATCACATGGAAGTTGCTTCAATGCATTTAGGGGTGTGGTCCTGGTCAAGACAATCTCCTGAACTCCAAACTGAATGTCAGAGTGGGAAACAAAGGTGTAATGGTGTGGGGGATGTTTTCTTGGCACACTTTAGGCCTCTTAGTGCCAATTGGGCATCGTTTAAATGCCACAGCCTGCCGCCTGAGCATTGTTTCTGACCATGTCCATCCATTTATGGCCACTATGTACCCATCCTCTGATGGCTACTTCCAGCAGGATAATGCACCATGTCACAAAGCTCGAATCATTTCAAATTAGTTTCTAGAACATGACAATGAGTTCACTATACTAAAATGCCCCCACAGTCACCAGATCTCAACCCAATAGAGCATCTTTGGGATGTGCTGGAACAGGAGCTTCGTGCCCTGAATGTGCATCTCACAAATCTCCATCAACTGCAAGATGCTATCCTATCAATATGGGCCAACATTTCTAAAGAATGCTTCCAGCACCTTGTTGAATCAATGCCACGTAGAATTAAGGCAGTTCTGAAGGTGAAAGGGGGTCAAACACAGTATTAGTATGGTGTTCCTAATAATCCTTTAGTCAAGTGAGCGGCTAAATAAATATGTATGTATGTATGTTTGTGTGTGTGTGTGTATTTTTTTATAGGAAAACACATTATATTAAACAAAGTATAATAATAGTAATAATAATAATGCATTTCTATTTTAAACAAACATAGTTACTTTATTGATTAAAAAAAACAGTAACTTGTTGGGTCATCACTAGTAAAATCTAAATGTAAAATTTGTATCCTGAAGTAAAAAAAAGTTGAGCATCTTGTTCTGCTAATATTCTGACCAAAATTGTTATGCAATTGTTATCCCAAATGTTACAGTATAAATTAAACTCTTCATGGGTTTGTACAAGTGCTACCTCAGTGAAAACTTTTTTTTTTTTTCGTTTGAAAGGAGAAGATAAAAGCTGTAAAATTAGACCATAAATCTGTATTTATGCTCCTCTGAGAACATCATCTTTTGCATAAATCACTTCTGATTTCATGCTGTGAGTTCTGTCATTAGCTGCTCATTGATTTCCATTAAACGAAAAGAAAGCTGAGCTTGAGATAATTTCAGCTGGAGGCTAGAAAATAGACGCAGATGGAAAGAAGGGAAAGAATCAGAGCTGTTTTATGATAGTCTTGAATTTTGGTTTGATTCAGCAATTAATGTATGTGTTATGAAACAATGAACGAGCCTTTACCTTTTACACAAATCTCTATTATAAAACACTTGAGAAGGACAGAAGAAAATGTAATTACAAACATATTGTACCAACAAAACAATGTGCAGTAGCCAAAATGTTTTGTGTATGTGACAGAAATGGCTGTACTGAAGCAAGAAACATTTCAGCTTAACTCTGCATGGTCAGTCTGACATGTTGTGCCAATAAGTGAATGAAATTGAAACTTGCCGGAATCATCCAGTTGGCCAAATCTCCATATTTGGATACCTGCATGGCTCCTAACATGGTCAAGTTGATATGACCCCTAGAGGAAAGAAAAAAAAAAGACATCAATGCAAAAATTAAAGTGCGGTCACATGTCGGCAAAATTTCACTGGCAAAAAAGGCCCATTGTCTTTTGTCAATAGAAATGTGAAGCAAAGCACAGAATGTCAAACGAAGCAGCTTTCTATTGGTCAACGCAGAAAAATCAAGCGACCAACAGAACCTTTCACAAAATCAGAGTAGGGAAATCTTGGCTTTGTGACTGCACCTTTACTCAAGAGTGTCATGGCTAATAAACGGAGCAATTCCAATAAGATCCTCACAACATCGGTGCTTAGGATCTAAATATTTAGACAGATGTAGAGTTAGGCACTTAAACTTATCGGTTTGGTCTCACTCATTTAATATAATAGAATTATAAAATTATATATTTTTGAATGTGGAACAAAAGAATTTGGTTTCAAAGCTGTAAAGTCTGCAATAAAGCACTGAGAACAGGGACATCCTCATAAGAATAAGAACAATAAGCCACTATTTTTGTTATGAGATCATGTCGTTTGGTCATGGACTTAACAAATGCAAGATTATTACTTAGGTCAATGCTGACAAACAATTGAAATAAATAGTTCACCAGTTTATGTTTTATGTTAGGGTAAACTTCAGTACTTCCTTAATAACTAGAAATTCATGTTCAATACACACTCGATTTAGGCAAATTGTCAAATTCAAAAGGCCATTAAAAAAAAAAAACGACACTTCCTTGAAAAGACTAAACTAAATCATTTGAGTAGGACCTGTGTGCCAAAAAGTCGAGCCTATTGGCTTGAAATAGTGCACCACTAAACCACTGGATTGTGATGGCCTTATTCGTGCATGTACAGACAGATTGTAAGTGGGTGGAAGTGCTCTATTCTTAATGTATGTGCTGTCATGACTCCCCTTGTGCCGGGTACAGCCAAGACCCCATGACCATTCACTGTGCTCCCTATTGCACCAGACAATTAAGGCCTAAATATACGACCAACCACTGCTGGATTCGCAGACGGCGAACACAGAAATAATTCTGAGGCTTGTGGGAGGGCGGCGTTAGCTGCCTGTGGAAAAATCGATAAGGCTCATAAAACATCAACAGGGAGTTTTCTAAACGACTTGGGACTAATGCTTAACATACAGCTATGCATTATTAAAGATAAATTTAATCTTGTGACTTAACTAAATAGCTGGAATAAAGAAACAAACAAATAAACATACATATACACACACACACGCATTCATACATATTTTGTTATTTAATAAAAAAATGTGTAAAATGTAAAAACAAATTTATGTATGCATACAGTGTGTATATACACTCACCTAAAGAATTATTAGGAACACCATACTAATCCTGTGTTTGACCCCCTTTCGCCTTCAGAACTGCCTTAATTCTAAGTGGCATTGTTTCAACAAGGTGCTGAAAGCCTTCTTTAGAAATGTTAGCCCATTTTGATAGGATAACATCTTGCAGTTGACAGAGATTTGTGGGATGCACATGCACATCCAGGGCACGAAGCTCCCGTTCCACTACATCCCAAAGATGCTCTATTGGGTTGAGAGCTCTAACCCAATAGAGCTCAACCCAAGATGCTATCCTATAAAATGGGCCAACATTTCATTTTAGTACAGTGAACTCATTGTCATGTTCAAGAAGTCAATTTGAAATGAATCGAGGTTTGTGACATGGTGCGTTATCCAGCTGGAAGTAGCCATCAAAGGATTGGGTACATGGTGGCCATAAGGGATGGACATGGTCAGAAACAATGATCAGGTAGGCCGTGGCATTTAAACGATGCCCAATTGACACTAAGAGACTACAGTGTGCCAAGAAAACATCCCTCACACCATTACACCACCACCACCAGCCTGCACAGTGGTAATAAGGCATGATGGATCCATGTTTTCATTCTGTTTACACCAAATTCTGACTCTACCATTTGAATGTCTCAACACAGAAATCGAGACTCATCAGACCAGGCAACATTTTTCCAGTCTTCAATTGTCCAATTTTGGTGAGCTCTTGCAAATTGTAGCCTCTTTTTCCAATTTCTAGAGGAGAGGAGTGGTACCTGGTGGGTTCTTATGCTGTTGTAGCCCATCCGCCTCAATGTTGTGCTTGTTTTGGCTTTATAAATGCTTTGCTGCATACCTCGGTTGTAACGAGTGGTTATTTCAGTCAAAGTTGCTCTTCTATCAGCCGGCCCATTCTCCTCTGACCTCTAGCATCAACAAGGCATTTTCACCCACAGGACTGCCGCATACTGGATGTTTTTACCTTTTCACACCATTCTTTGTAAACCTTAGAAATGGTTGTGAGTGAAAATCCCAGTAACTGAACAGATTGTGAAATACTCAGACCGGCCCGTCTGGCACCAACAACCATACCACACTCCAAATTGCTTAAATCACCTTTCTTTCCCATTCTGACATTCAGTTTGGAGTTCAGGAGATTGTCTTGACCAGGACCACACCCCTAAATGCATTGAAGCAACTGCCATGTGATTGGTTGATAGATAATTGCATTGATGAGAAATTAAACAGGTGTTCCTAATAATCCTATAGGTGAATGTATACACATGCATATTTTTTAACTCATCCTGAAATTAAAAAAAAAAATTGTTTGTCTAATAACACTGTTTTCAAATGATTCATTTTAATAATGAATAATACAAATTTGATATTATTTTTAATTAAATTAGAAAAAAAGATAAGTATTTTCTCAGTGGTCTCAGACTCAGTAACTTTTGAACGCCTTTATGTTAATACAGTATTCTGGGAAAATCAACACATGAACACTTGGTGTTGTCAGGAAATTGAAATTCACATACACAGGATGCAGAATTACACACTCTCGCACTTAAGACCAGCAAGAGTCAATTGCTTTATTTACAGCACCACAGGTTTCTCCGTGAAGGCCAGAAGGCACCGGGAGAGACAAAGCACCTTCATTCCAGCCGTCTCACCCTACTGAGCAGTACAAGAAGCATCCAATTAAAGTAGCCACCTGTTTTGACAGAGCTGAAAATGTCAGCCAAAGTGCCCAAAGGCGCAGTCAACATCATGGCCGACTCATTGCATATTCTACCTCCGCTCCATTCCACACATTCGCCATTAACACTCAGAAAACAACCCTTAACCATCTGCAAATCAAGCCCTTACGCCCCAAAACAGTCACAGCACTTCATTCAACATAGAAAGTCACATCTATTATCAGAATGTCTAAGAGAGCTCTTCCCACAGCTGGTTTCTTTAAAAGTTTTATCATCTGGGCCAAAGTACTCAGCCTTTCTGAGAACCAACCAACTAAAAATAAAGTCAACTTGTGAAAAATGTTTTGTGGAAATGGTTACAAAACACTGTTAGCAAAAAGGCCCTTATATTATATTTGATTGAAGATTAAAATGTGATTTGTACTTACCCTCTGATCATGGCAAAGGAATCGTCGCTAGAGAAATAGGCTGCTCCAGGAAGAACTGTGACAGTTTCTTTACCTGAAAGGGTAAGAGTGGAATGGAAAGAGTCTCATTAAGTGCTCTGGATGGACAAATTAGGTTATTAAAAGGCAACTTATGCAATGCTAATGCTGTATAACTGTCTACAAAAATGAAAGTGAGGGGTAATTATTACCAGCATTGATAAGATCTGCATCAACATCTTCCACAGGTGGATAGGGGCCCTGAATTATATTTAAAAAAATAAAAGTACGAATTAATGCTTTTATGATGAGTGCACTGCAAAAATAAGAAATATACAACAAACAACAACAACATAGTTAAATGGAGAGAATAATTTAACTCCTGCTTCATGTAGACAAAACACATTTACACAGATCTAATGGTTTTATGTCTACACTCATTATTTTAATTTTATATTTGACAGCAGTATAACAGTAATCAGATAATGGTAATATTTGCCATTAATATTTTTCTCATATAAACTACAGATGCAATTAAAGTGCACACTAAAAAATAAATTGATTCAAACAACTCTCTCATTAAGTGTGTGTTTTTCTCTTATTAACATAATAATTAAAATCATAACAGATTTATGGATAAAGATTTTTGGTTAAAGATTAAGGCTTTTCAATAATGTTTCTAACTGCATTTAGCAAATGCAATACAAATCTGTTAAAGAAGAGCTTACCAGCCCCAGAATGCCATTTTCACTCTGCAGGTGGACGGTAATATCTGGTTTGATGAAATTACTTGCCAGCATGGGGATTCCAATGCCCAGGTTAGCTAAAAAGGTTATCAAACTGCATTAAAAGATTATCATGAGAGACACAGGAAATGTAATTTTAGTAAACAATAAAACCATTGTTGCTTCTAATAATCTGTAAAAATTCAAGGAAAAGTTCACCCTATTTGAGTATGTTTTTCACACAAAGCTTTCAGTGTGAAGCATTCAGCACCATATACATACCATATGGCTCCAAAAGACTTGAAATATAGCACACAAGATGTGTGAATCGGTTTTATGGTACTTTGAAAGCTTCAGTCCTTATTCATTGTAATTGCATGGCTAACAGAGGACAGTAAAATACTTAAAAAAAAATAATAATAATAATATTGTGCAACAGTCAGGAAAAGCCTAGACTGATTTTCTCCAGAGGGAAACTGATTTTAAACGATAACTTATAAACCTTTAAAGAAGACTGAAGATCTCAGCTCGCATTATTTCTGTTTAGTTTTAAAATAATTGTTTAACAGCTAAATTTCTGATGAAACACTACATTACATATAATGATGTAAACAAAATCACACCAATCAGAGAATACAAAAAAAGTAAGACGTGCCAAAATATCTCATTAACTCCACCCACTCCCATGAATGACGTAACTGAATCTCTCTATGCTCTCAAAATACTTCAGTGTGTGTGTGTGTGTGTGTGTGTGTGTGGATATATACATATGTACGCATATTTTGCAAAAATAAAATTGCAAAAAAAAAAAATAAAAAAATTGTAAAAAAAAATAAAATATATTGTTTTTATATCAACATTTGTAAATTATTTAGTAGTTTTATATTTCTCCAGCAATTTTTATTTAATTAAGCTGTTGGAAATAGAGTGAAGCAGGAATGAAGTTAAATGCTGTAGCAAAGAGTTAGCATTTTAACACCTATAGCATTTTAGCACCTTTGGTTCCATTGCCCCGAAATCAATGTTTTGTTTTTATGATTTTTTTTGTTAAATGGCTGAAATAAGATGAGGTGAAAACAAGCTCAAGATACTTTCACGTTTTATTCTTCAACATAAAATTCATCTATATTACACCACTCGTGATTGACCACCCTGCGGAGAAAGCTCATTTCTGCCGCCAGTATCCGGGATCTTGTCCTTTCAGTCATGACCCACAGCTCATGGCCACTGGTGAGAGTAGGAACCAGAGTATGTGAGCGGAGTGGAGTGGGAGCGGAGCGAGGAGTGGAGCGGCATGATTTTGAATGGAGCGCGGAGCGGATTTTTTAAAAGTCGGAGCGTCGTGGCTTTCACTCGTTCCGAGCGCGCTCCACTACCGCTCTATCACGAGGACAATTCATGCCAACGGCTCATTATAGAACTGCATTTTTAGTAAGGATTCACGTGTTAAACACATTACGCTAGCATGATACAGATGGATCACTCAAATCAGAAAAAAATGTGAGGGTTATGATGACGCCGATGGACATGAGTGGCTGCGGGAGGTTATAGTTATCAAGCCTGTACTGAATATGAGCGGGCACCACGATCTCATGAAAGTGCGAATCTATAGCACACACTTTATTTCTCGTGCCTATTATTATATGCCAAAAAATTGTTTGTGCGTGCAAATGACGCACACTAAACCCCTTGGTTAGGATGGGTGTGAAGTGCGTTCTTGCCATTAAAGGGTTAGTTCACCCAAAAATGAAAATTAAGTCATTAATTACTCACCCCCACGCTGTACCAACCCCGTAAGACCTTCGTTCGTCTTCGGAACACAAATGAAGATATTTTTGATTAAATTTGAGAGCTGTATAACTACCACATTGGCTCCTAAGGGACTGCCTCTTGACGGCCCAGAAAGTCAATGAAGAAAATGTTTAAATATCCCAAGTTTATTCGAGTTTATTCGACTATTTCTTTTCTTCCTTGTAGGCCAGAACGAGACTTCCTTATAGATTTCCACGACGCATGCGCGAGAATTGCGATCTGAAGTAGTGAAGCTGGTGTGAGCAGATCGCAAATCTCGCGCATGCGTCGTGGAAATCTATAAGGAAGTCTCGTTCTGGCCTACAAGGAAGAAAATAAATAGTCGAATAAACTCGTTATTTTTGTTTGTTTTTTCGCACAAAAAGTATTCGCGTCGCTTGATAAACATATAGTTGAGCCACGGTAGTCACTTGGGATATTTAAACATTTTCTTCATTGACTTTCTGGGCCGTCAAGAGGCAGTCCCTTAGGAGCCAATGTGGTAGTTATACAGCTCTCAAATTTAATCAAAAATATCTTCATTTGTGTTCCGAAGACGAACGAAGGTCTTACGGGGTTGGTACAGCATGGGGGTGAGTAATTAATGACTTAATTTTCATTTTTGGGTGAACTAACCCTTTAAGTGCGTATCGTAGGCTATGCCCACGAGAAATAAAATATAGATAGCCTACGCACTTTCATGAGATGGGGCGCTGGATCGGGCGGGGTGAAAGCACATTTTAAACAGGTAACACTTATTCACCAACGCAATCGCTTTCTCACTAATGCATTGCATTCAAACAAATGTAATCATACAGTCGGCTATCTGTCAGTATTTGATTTTAAATGAGCATGAATCTGTGAGAAATGTAGCGACCCGTAGATAAATAACTGATGAAAACGTAGTTATTTTCTTCTTTCCAAACAAAATGTGCTCTGCAAAAAGCAGTAATGATATTTAATTTATAATGCTGATAACCTGTAATAAGCATAGCATGTCATAGGAAAAGTTTGCACACTATCCAAATCCAATAAACAACATTGCAACTATTCTCCTAACGTTGTTTTTTTATTTATTTACTATGCCTATGTATCTATTATGATGAGGAGACATTTTGTGAGATTCTAAAGCATACTTAAATACTTTATTCGGAATTTCCTTGGGGAGCGAACACGGAGCGGTGTTTCTGATATCAGTGAGCGAGGAGTGGAGCGGGAGCGGTAAATGGTGAACCCGGAGCGGAGCTGGAGCGGAGTGATTATATAATGCTTGGAGCGTGGAGGGGAAATTGTTGCCGCTCCACTCCGCTCACATACTCTGGTAGGAACGTAGATTGACCGGTAAATTGAGAACTTTGCCTTGCGACTCAGCTCTTTCTTTACCATGAGAGACCGGTACATCGAGTGGCCTCCATCATCCGTAAATGAAAGAAGTTTGGAACCACCAGGACTCTTCCAAGCTGGCCGCCCAGCCAAACCGAGCGATCAGGGGAGAAAGGCCTTAGTCAGGGAGGTGAAAAGAACCCGATGGTCACTCTGACAGAGCTCCAGCATTTCTCTGTGAAGAGAGATGAGAACCTTTCAGAAGAACAACCATTTCTGCAGCACTCCACCAATAAGGCATGTATGGTAGAGTGCCCAGACGGAAGCCACTCCAGTAAAAGGCACATGACAGCCCCTCTGGGATTTTCCAAAATGAATGGAAAGCATCATGTTTGGAGGAAACCAGGCACCGCTCATGACCTGGTCAATACCATCCCTACAGTGAAGCAATGTGGTGGCATCATGCTGTGGGGATGTTTATCAGTGGCAGGAACTGGGAGACTAGTCAGGATCAAGGGAAAGACAAATGCAGCACTGTACAGAGACATCCTTAATGAAAACCTTCTCCAGAGCGCTCTGGACTTCAGACTGGGGCAACGGTTCATCTTCCAACAGGACAACGACCATAAGCACACAGCCAAGGTAACAAAGAAGTGGCTACGGGACAACTATGTGAATGTCCTTGAGTGGCCCAGCAAGAATCCAGACTTGAACTCGATTGTGAAATCTGAAAATGGCTGTGCACCAACACTCCCCATCCAACCTGATGGAGCTTGAGAGGTTCTGCAAAGGAGAATGGGAGAAACTGCCCTAAAATAGGCATGCCAAGCTTGGTGCATCATACACAAAAAGACTCGAGGCTGTAAATAGTGCCAAAGGTGCTTCATCAAAGTATTGAGCAAAGGCTGTGAATATTGATGTTTTTATTTTTAATACATTTGCAAAGATTTCAAACATCTTTCAAACAAGCTTTACACGTTGTCATTATGGGGTATTGTTTGTAAAATTTTGAAACAAATAATGAATTTATGGAATAAGGCTGTAACACAAAATTTAGAAAAAGTGAAGTGCTGTAAACAATTTAGTATGATAAACTTTTGTTGATCACAGTACTTGTTTTTTTTTTTTTGCGATAATCCAAAAACCTATGGAAAAATGCTATTGGGATTTTGTCGAGAGAAATAGCATGAGGCTAACTGCCAGTTGACCTACAAAGTGACTTCATACCCGCACCACTCAATTCTTTATTGAATTGTAGTTTTCTTTCCCTCACTAAAACCGTTAAGTAAACAGTGTTGTACTTCTGATTTTTTTTCTGATTTTCAAAACCTTTTTGCTTCAAATCAAAGTTTGTAGTGTTGTGATTCACCTCGTAACTGGTTGGCTTGGTTCACGGCTTATAACTCTTTAAAGAAAACTTAATAAAAAAATATTCCTATAGGAAAAATTCATGGAAAAATACTTTTGGGGGCCGGCGCTAATGCACTCTATACAGGTTTTGATCAACGTGAGGGTGAGTAAATGATGACAGAATTTTCATCTTTGGGTGACAATCACTTTAAAGGATAAAACATTGGACTAGTGAGATTAAAACTATAGACCATTTCACTAGATGTAAACAACACTGGTCCAGAAGCACTTCCTGTTTCAGTTTTTTAACACTACATAAAAGCTGGGCTAAAATACAACCAACAGAACATTTAAAACTGAATCAAAAAGTTAAACAAACTTTAAGATGTTTTCTTTACATGTGAAATAAAGAAAACAGTTACAAACTGAAACAGGAAGTGCTTCTGGACCAGTGTTGTTTACATCTTGTGAAATGGTCTATAAATGTACGAGATATGGTCGTAAAACATTGTACATACCGTACATCCCGTCCTCAAACTCCAGCGCAGCTCTGCGAATAATCCTCTCTCTCACAATATCAGAGTCTTTTTTGGGTTTGGGATTTTCAGCCTGGCTTTTCTTTACTGTACGCCTCTGTAAAAATCAGACAGAGGGGCAGCAAAAAGATGACAGAGGATAGATGGATAAAGGAAAACTGATAAAAATGAGTCAGACAAGTTGCGGCACCTTACCTCAATCCGTTTCTCATAGACATCTCCCTTGACGATCCTGTGGACGTACACGCTGGGGATGTGGATGTCCTCTGCTGCAAACGTGCCCACGTCGACAATCTCCTCTACCTGAAGATAAGTTAAATAAGTTTATTGAGATTTTTAAGTACGTTTCAATCTTTTTGTGCAGTGGCTAAAGGGGATGCTGCAACCTCTCAGAGACAGTTTTAGCATGTTGACAGCATTTAGTGCACTAAGAGTCTATCAGTACTGAGAAGTTGCTTCTCTGAATTCATCCTCTTTCACTCCTGGACAAATCACCTGCCATAAATAATGTTTCTGTTATTTTGCATAATCCATAGGGCTCCTTTTTTGCGAGGACTATAATTTTGTGCAATAAAATAATATAGATATTTAACATATTTATTTGCTGAATATCGCTCAGTTACCCCAATATACCATTAAACGTCTGTACGATTAGCCCTCTGAGGTCTAGGATGCTTTTGGGGCCCTTGAGATGTTTTGAGATGCCCGACATTTGTGCTTTTTTTCAGTTGCTTATAAACATATTAATGGCACAGATGAAATAGGGCTACCATAATATGTGAACAACATGTATGTTCATGTTTGTATTTTTGAGAGAATATTGTTTATGCATGGTTATTGAAAAAAAAAAAAAACGAAAAATGAAAGTTTCTGAAATAAGGCCACAAAACACATAATAAATATGCGTCCACAAGACTTTTGACTAATGGATGTTGTGGCCAAGAGTTTTTTCTTCACAATGATCTGAAAAATCACCCTGTCATCCTGTCATAAAACTGTGAATTAGGTTATACTGTGAAAATAATTTTTTGTTTGACAAGGCAATATGGGCGTGAACAGGCCAGCCCCATCATGTATAATTTGGTGATTTTCACCTGAGAGAGACAAAGACATGCATAATAATGAGCCTTTCATTCAGGCGTCACACAAGAAAAAAATTGAAAGGACCACATATATATATATATATATATATATATATATATATATATATAAAATCAAAGAATAAATGAAAGTCAAAAAACTGTTTTAGTCACAACATGAGGGTGAGTAAATACTGACCCTCAGTATTTAATGGCACAAATACTGTAAATACTGAGGGTGAATAAATGCAGTCTTGGTAAGCATAAGAGTAGTTTCAAAAACACTAAAAAATCTTCCAGATCCCAAACATATAAATGATAGCACAGTTTCACACATCCAACTAGGAACACTAAAAATACACATACACTGTTTCAAGAAAATTGATGAAATAAGTCTGGTAATGGACACCGGGCCAGATGACAGTTCAGTGTCAGACATTTCTTTACTGCTCTGTATCATCATCTATCATCAGCTCTCTGTCTGCCATCCATTACAGCTGAAAAACATACTATCGAGTGTAGGTGAAACTGCCCCTGAAAATGTTAAAAATGCCTTCCATTGTGTCAGAGATGTAAGAAAAAGCTTTTGTTCTGAATTCAGAGATCTAGATGTTGCCTTTTCAGTTGGTTTTCCACACAGTATTGATATGGACAGCTTTAAGGACCCTCCAGGGAACAATAAACCTGTCACATATAAGCAGCCTGATTGAGGAGGGTTTGCCCTGCAAATGGGAAAATGTTAACCTATCTCTCTTTGGAGACTAGAGGATATGAGCAAAGGGAATGAAGTGCTGACAGCTACTTGAGACTTAAACTTTCACAAACTTTCCGAAACCACTAATCTTGAAGTCAAGAAGTTTATAAAACTGGCTGAAGGGACAGTTTTGCATACAAGTCAGGATTTATCCTCAAAAGGAGATGTCTAGCAGAATGTTTACTTTGCTCTTTTTATATAATCATCACCAAAACCGTCATCCATCAACAGAAACTTCAAAAAGCATTTAATATTTCAACCAGTTACAAGAAACACAAGAGCTAATAGCATATTTAATTTGTGCAATTTTAATATTTGTATATTAAAAATTTGCATTTGTAACCAATATTACTAATATACCAACCAAGTGATTAATTACGAATACTCCATGCTAGTAATTCATATTGCAGTTGCGGAATTTTAATATGTGCATATTCAAATTTGGCACTTGTAACCAGTTACAATCTACAGAAGAAACAATGGCATTCACCATTAATAACAAACATAGGGCCAGATTTACTAAACAGGGAAAATTCCAAAAAAGCACAGATTGGAGTGGAAAGTTCTGTGAGTGATTTACTAATGATGCTCAAATTAAAGAACAGACGCAGCCGGATCATTTCCATAATGACCAACGCAATCTACAGCAGAGAGCAGCGCAAAGTAACATCCGGTTTAAGACATGCTTTTTGGGGGCGGTAAATAATGGCACAAATACCAGTAAATTGACTAGCGCAAACCTTAGTAAATTCATTTAAATACTCTCCTCCCATAAATTTTGCATTTGAAAGGGAAAGTCCTAGAAATGCATGTGCAATAAGGTCAGACGCAAGCATAACCCTGTCCATGCCTTTTCAGCGCTAATTTTTCACCACTGCGTGTCTTTAGTAAATCCTGACATACTGGTCTAGTATGGAGCTTCTAATACTCCATACTATTGATTAAATGTCATTTTTTGTTATTTGCATATTGAGATCTCTCAATTGAACCAATGGCATTTACCATTATTGATAACAAACCTGGTGTGGGAACACCTTTCACTTTCATTAAAGACAACATAACTTTGTTTGTTTCATAGAACAGAGAAAATCATTTTAATTTCAAGTGTGTCTCATTTTGCGAAAAAAAAAAAAAAACGTTTTCCTCCACATCCCCCCGTGTTAAATTTTGATTGTCGTACCTGTTGCGGTGTTGTGTGTGATAAGTCACAGCGCTGCTGCGATCTAAGAGAGCGGCTTAGCACTCCTTTAAAGAGCAAAAATAAGCTCTTAAAATACTGAATAAAAATATGAGACTCAGAATAAGGGCTCAGGGGACAAAACAATTTGCCGAGAACCAAATCAATGCGCCCAAAGCACGTTTAAGCCTAGCAGATGTGCACAAACAGACAGACATAAGCCAGGCACCCCAAGTATAAGACAGACCAGCGCGACTTTAGCTGTCCAAACCAATACGCTTGTGCATCATATATAGAGGGAAATTTTCTGAAATTGGTGCATTTTACAACCGTATCCTCTACATGGGGCACCATTAGAAAGGGCAAAACGATGAACCTAGATTGAGCGGTGTTGTTGTCATGGTTACAGCTGATGGCATTTGGCATTTTATTACCAGCCCGGGCTGTGCAGTGCAGAGAGCGACTGAAGGGCTCAGGCTTCTAGACAGCCTAAGGGTTTAATGCGGAGCACAAAATGAAATCTGTATGAGTTAACAACACTTTCTATAGAGAGTTCGGAGTGGCACCTTTAAAGAAACAGTGCATCCAAAAAAAATTAACCTGCCATTATTTGTTCAACCTCAAACCAGTCCAAATATGTATGCTGTTATTACTTAAAATTATCATTCATTTAAAGATTTAATAAAAATTTCCCATTAAATTTACAATAAGAGAGGTGAATAGTGCTTTGCATTGCTGCATATAATATTATTTTAACATTTGTTAAGTTAAAGGGTTAGTTCACCCAAAATTATTCCATAATTTACCCAATCTTAAGCCATCCTAGGTGTATATGACTTTCTTCTTTCAGTCAAACACAATCTGAGTTGTATTGAAAAATATCCTGGCTCTTCCATGCTTTTAATGGGAGTGAATAGTAACTGACATTTTGAAGCCGAAAAATATGCATCCATCCATCATAAAAGTAATCCATACGCGAGTATCTTCCGGCTGAAGAGTAACGCATGAGGTATTTATAAACGCGGAAACGCAAATAGAGCAAAACAAAACGAGAATTTGTCGAGAGAAATGTCGCAGGAGCTCGAGTTTGTTGCCCTTACGCTACTCCAACATCCTACGTCATATGCCGCAACTCGACTCTCTCGTGAATTTGCAGACAGACGTTAGTGGAAGACTGGAAGCTAGTGATTACAGTTTATAAAGTTATAATTATGGCTATTTTCCTTACAAAAATGCATCGCTTCGCTTCAGAAGGTCTTTATTAACCCTCCTGGAGCCGTATGAATTACTTTTATGTTGGATGGATGCACTTTTTTGGGCTTCAAAATCTCAGTTACTACTTTATTAAGCTTGGAAGAGCCAGGATATATATATATATATATATATATATATTTAAAAAAATTGGCTGAAAGAAAAAAAGTCATATGCACCTAGGATGGCTTGAGGGTGAGTAAATCATTTTTGGGTGAACTAACCCTTTAATATTAATAATATGAATTGATTTATATAGTACTATAAATGAAGAATATGCAGGTTTTTTTTATCTACTGTATATCTATATGATTACATATCATATGCCATGATACTATACACGACATATCTATACACAAGCAGCCCTCAGGAAAAAACTCTGAAGCAGCATTTGGTCTTCAATGGAAATGAAAATAAGCTTGATGTCACATAGAAAGAAGGAAAAAAGGGATACAAAATCCTTGAGGAATACAGATGAACCTTTTTTTCTAAGGGTTTGTTCTTTTTATGGACTGTGAGCCTTGTCAAAGCCGGTTAAATCTGCAGAAGCTGATGGGCACATGTTGTTATGAAACAGTTAGTGTGTCTCGATCAGTAACATGAAGTGAGTGTATGCTAAATATCGCTAATCTGGCAGGTAGCTAAAAATGATTACGCGTTTATTTTTACACGTCTCGCTTCATTTAAAGTGCCAAGCATAAGCAACAGACGGCACACAAATAAACGGTAATCTTAAAAAATAGTTGAGACATGATGAGACAAATCCAAAAATCCAATGAAGGCATGAACAGCACTAAGCTAACAATGTGATAAACAAGGTATGTTTGAATATACTGAGGATACATTTTGTGTAGTAGTTAGTCTTGTCTATTTTCTAAATGTTAAATTAAAACACATCCCTTCTCCAGATGTTTCAGCTCAGTATGAAAATGTTAGAAGAAACCCAGTCTATCAGCACCATGCACCTTGTGGGGCCGCCAACCCGAGGCTAAATACAATTACCACTTCAAACAAATGGCTCTTAAAAGGACAAGTTCAGTAT